AAAAAAAAAAAAAAAAAAAAACGCACAAAAGCTGTTCGATGAAAAGCCTCAAAGGGACTCTGCTACAATTAAGAGAGCTTTTGCGGAGCTCTTTGCCAATAATCGTAAGCCTTCCCTTGGCCTCAAATTGGATTACACACCTGCTGAAGAAATAGAAGCATTCATTGATGATTAAGATATCACTGATGTTACACTATCTTGGGGCTTTTGTCTTGTCGGGTACTTTACCCAAAGGCATCCGGGCATGTAGCCTCTCTTGAAGCGTTGTAGCTCTTGGAACGTCCGATATGACTACATCCTGAACATCAATGGTTGGATTATTTTAAGTTTGCTTCTGCAGTAGATAGGGATAAGGTCCTCCATGGAGGTCCCTACACAATTTATGGGAGGGGACTAATCCTTAAGGTGCTCCCAAATTAGTTTCAATCCGGGGAAGATGATATCAAAATTGTGCCTGCTTGGATCAATCTTCCAGTCATTCCCGATGAATGTTGGAATTCGAAGGCTCTTGGCCAAATCATCTCTTATGTTGGAAAGCCCATCATAATCGACAAATTAACAGCGACAAAGGTGTGTTGTAACTACGCCCGAGTTTTGGTGGAGCTAGACCTCTCGAAAGAGGTAATTCTTAGTATTCTCATCTCCTCCAAAGAAGGCTTCCTGATCGATCAAAAAGTTGAATATGAGTATGTCTCCTATTATTGCAATTTTCACAAATTATTGGGCACTCTATTCAATTACGAGAAACACAAGGCCCACCAAGCTAGAAAGGCCGAGGGTAAGAAAGCAATCGAAAAACTGACTAACCTTGGAGAAGGTGCACCAATGGTTGTTTCCAACAAAGTCAATGATAAAAACCAAGTTGAGGGCCATGTAAACTAATCATTTGAGATAGGTCTTGCGGGTAAAAAGCCTATGGGCACGATATGGGGGATGACAGAGGCAAAAGGGAAATGCAAAAATTCAAAAGGGGCTCTTATGGTGGCGGCTAGATCCTCGAACACCGGCTCATCTTCCACCCCACCCGTCGGATGACACTCAAATTCATGGCCCATCATTCCCAAAAGATCATGGATCTCCTTTCCAAGTGGTAGGAAAGCATAACAAGGGACCCAAACAGAGTAGCTCTCAGACAAACTCACATTTGGGACAAGCAACAAAGCCAAAAGACAATATCAATGTGAAGAAGGAGTGGTTTAGGGAACTCAACTGAAGAAGGGGACAACCCTTCCTCATTACAATTATTATCGCCTTTTGGAATATTTGGGGCTTCAACAATATTACTTGTAATGGCAGTAGATTTGACATTAGTTTCAAAGCCGGATTTGCTCCCTCTTTCCATATATTAGTTAAATGTTCCCATGCCCCTTTACAAGCCTGATGCAACTGATTCATGTGAATATTGTAATCTACAATGGTTGAAGCATTTACTGTTGTCCAAAGAGAGTTTCCAGCCTTTTCGTCCTTCCATCTTTTATTAAAAATACGGAATAAGTGTAAAACACATAATCAATGGAATTTATATGGATAAATGGCATCTAAGGCAGAGAGAAGACCCTGCCAATGAAAGAAAAAAAATATTACATTACATATTTAATTTATTATTAAAATGAAACTGATATAATTATGTGAAGTATTACCGGTCCTTGATCAGACATAAACTTCTCCGTGAGGAGATGTAAGCCCAATATACTTTAATAATTGTTTTAAAAACCATGACCACGTGTCCTTTGTTTCGGAGGAAACAATAGCAAATGATATAAGGAAAACACCATTGTTTCTGTAAGAAAAAATTGGGTTTGTACCGATATAAAGATTCTATTTTTCGTAAGTAGAAGACTTAGAAAATTCTCAAAACCTTTTTATGATGAATGAGAAATTAATTATAAGTGTTATACGTTAATAAATTAAGTTTAAATAACTCAAAGGTTGTAGGGTTCACAAACATTCTGTTTTGACAAATGTTTGGATAAACTAAATGATCCATAATTATGCATTATGTATGCTAGAATTGTAGAAGGGATCGTTGGGGACAAGTAGAAAAAAACAGAACTCGATTCCGAGTCTATATGAGCTCGTACGAGCCCGCGGCGCACGGGCACGCAACTGGATGCGAAAATCAAAGGGTCGCAACCCTTGGTGACCATAAGGTATCTTATGGCCACTAGATGCATTCGTTCTCGTATGAGAGATGACAAATTGTAAGTCCAAGGATCACATATTTAAATAAAGTTGGATCCTGCTATATAATCCTGTATGATTTTTTTCTATATAATCTTATCATTTGGAAAAAAGAAAAAAAAAAAGCTCACACATTAAAATAAAGTTGGATCCTGCTGTGGATTTTTTCTTCGTAAATTATATATTTGAGCGATTTTATAAAATCTACTAGGACTTTCATGCCCTTCTGCTTTCAAAGTCCATCTTCCGTCTAATAAATTGTGGATTTCGAGAAATGTCAACCACTTTCGGGCTATAAAGGGCAAACAGAACGCGAATCAGAACACAAGATCCCATGAGTTTGCTATGGAAGACCTTCTGCTGATTCTTGATGTTTCGAAACTTGCATGCCCTAATATCAAAAGTGCAAGCAAACAATTGGAACCTTATTACTCAGAAACATTGGACAAACATGGACGTTTCTTTCCGTTTATGTTGACAGAGTACTTCGCCTTAATAGCCATCATTACTCTTAAGCTCCGCCCGACCCTCGAAATTCCGATAGGAAGGTTGATCAAAGCCTCTATTGCACAAAGTTTGGCCAGTGAATTATTAGGAAATTTAGGAGTCTGCGATTACTGCTTGGATAAAATGCTCGGCTGAGGCTTGATGTAGTTCCATACAAGGCTGGTCCAATGCTCTCTGGTTTCAAGATTTTTCTTAAAGAAGACTTCACCGGTATGCTTGATACCGGTGACGCATATAATGGATGTGACAAGGATGATTACATTTTTTTTTATCCACGTTGTGATGAGAAGGTAACTAAAGCTAACTAATTTTGGTCATTTTTTGTATTTTTTGTAATTTTAAATTCATTTAATTGTTTGTCCAGGGTAATCTTGTATAACCCAGACTCAACGGTGCGGTTTGGTGAAAAACCGCACTGAACCGCAAAAACTGAAAAACCGAACCTAGCAAAAAAAATAACCGAACCGCACCGCAATCTAGAAAAAAATTGAACAAAAACCGAACTGAATTTTTTGTTACACTTAATAACTGAACCGAACCGCACCACAATGCATGGTTCGGCTCAGTTTTTGGCTTTTCTATACATTTTATTCAATTTGGTGCGGTTCGGTGCAAAACCGCACCGAACCGAACAAAATCGAACTTATAGAAAACTATAATAGCACTAGACCGCAACGCTGAAAAAACCGAACCGAAAATTTTTAACATTAAAAAAATCGAACCAAACCGAACCG